CCGAGTTAAACCCCAGTGTTAAAAAATATAAAGAACATCACGTTGCAGTTGCCCTGTGTGGGTTCCAGTAATCTATTTTGAAGAACAGATAATACACTCACTGCCCCCTAATAAGCATTTCGCAGGAGGCTAATATAAGGCGTTTATCCTCAAAAGTCGGATTGCATCTGCCTAAGAGGCAAAGAACCAATAGTCTGCCTACAAGTAAGTTAAATCTGCAAAACGGATGAGCACGCAAAACTGAAGTTCTGGATCTAAGCCAAAGTTCAGGGGTGTATGCTAAATTGGAATTGCAGTTTTTGGGATACATGTTTCACTCTGTCTCTAAAGAACACCTTTCTTTGGTGCTGCTGAAGATGTTAATTGGGCAGGAAAAGGGGGGGGGGGGTATTTTTAGAATGCTTCCATTGACGAGATGTAGATTCCTAATTCTCGTCTCTCAAATTCTGTCGGTGTCTGTCGTTAAAATAAATCTTGAAAGCCTACGTGGACCGTCATAAAAAAGAAACCAAACTAAAATTTGCCAGATTAACGAAATATATAATCTTTAAAATCAGATCATTTATTAAAAAGCACTCTACATATATTACTAAATAACATTATATTCAATACATTCCATCTGTAAATTGCTATCATTTAAAATTATAAACTAATGTAAATGATATATTGTGATGCAATTGAATTTGGCCTACTGTTGATATTTTCAAACGTTTACTTCCGGCCCACAAAGCCCAAGCGTCTATTGATGTCATGGCGGATGCTTCATATAGTTGACTTTTTGAAATCTTTTTCTACGTCCACGCTGATCATCTGTGGACGAACACCTTGCTGACATACACTTGGATATACTAAAAACACTTAGGCACTACAGGGTTTAACATTTATACATATTTTTGCTGTGAACAATACAATTTAAACGAATGATCTCCATTATTTATTTTTGTGCTTTCCGTTTCTGAAGACCTCCAGTAACCACAAAGATCTGACCGTCTGTGGTAATCAAATTCTTAATGAGTGGAAGTCTTTGTATATGTGGACATTTACTGTCCCTGCCCGCACAGAACCGGATGTTACACCCGCTGAAGTCAACGTTACGGGTACCCCAGTTAGAACTTCTTGTAGAGAAAAGGGGAGGGGGGGGGGGGTGTTCAGCGGGGTACTATCTGGGATTTGCAGCATGTCCCAACTGCTGAAACAGATAAATCACAATGTCAGACCACAAGGCAGCAGCAACCGGAAAAACGGAAGGACAGATGTTTTCATCTGTACCTATATAGACCACAGCTGGAAGGTCCACTGCCACTATTAATTCTTGTAGTCTATAAAATTTGCGAACTAATTATTTATGATTATCATTAATTCCCCCCCCCCCCCATTTTCCCCCATCCTGTTTTATCTCACTGGGCCCATAAACCAAACGGAGCAGAGAATACTGTGACTTTCTAGAAACTGTACTGTTGCCTAACCAAGACAGGTTACATTAAACTAATCTGGTGTAGCAGAGACTGCTGCAGACAGTATACCACAGAAAGCGTTCATGTACAGACGAAGCAAAGAAGAGGCTGACCATACAAGCGATGGACAGAGGGAATTACAGAGACCCTGAGAATCCCAGTTTACAAAGCACACAAATGGGCTCTTATAAATTATACTTCACCTCCAGCGCAATGTACCAGGGGATTGAGATTTGATGAGAGAACTAGAGATTTGTCACAGCCAGTCTTCATGCTGGAGATGACACCTGACTGATTGAACATTCTCCAGATATAACCATTTTATAAGATTGAATGGATTATGTAGGAATTGTTCCGGTTTGGTTCACCAATTGAAATATGCCTTTATGAGTCAGATTCTCAAAGGGTAGTGGGAAACGATCTCTATAAGCAGGAATTTGAACTAGGTCACATTGTATATTTTAAAAGACATCTAAGGAGGGTTGGCAGCATCCCATAAAAACTTTATCTGCAAGTTTAACCAAGCACTTGAATGAATCATCACAGTACTCTAGACACTCCATCCTCATCCTTGTTTCAGCAGCCAGCAAAGAGTTCCAGCTCTGATGGCACCAGCAGCAGTTAGATTATATGTCTGTCTTGCCTTTTCCCCAAAGCGTAGTGTCTCAGCCACACCCCCTGGTCACTTATGACTTAGAATAGCCATACAGAAGACATTCTGTGGAATTACCCAGTAGGAGTTTGAGAAGCACCATTGTCATCAAGGAATTCCACCCCCCCCCCACCCCCCACCCCACCCACCCCAAAAATAAATTGTGCCACTGCACCATTCTCTCCACACCATAATGATCTACTCACACTTCCGCACTGTTCACTTGTTCCCAAAGGGTCTTGACCATATTTAGCTTGTCGAGCATAAAATTACCACCCAGTGGTAAAGCACCAGTAATCTGCCTAGCTGTTCTTTTCTTAACAAGCTAACCATTCATTATCTTCACTTACCAAACCACTGAAGAAAACTTCCCCAACTGCGGTGGAAAAAAAAGCTCTTTATGATGTAAAGAAAGCCGCAAAGTCTGGATTACCAACATATTTGGTGTAAGAATATTTCCACAATTGCCACCTGGAAATGTGAGAACAGTGTACAAAATGGTGGGGGGGGGGGGGGGGGGGGAACAGTGCAAGTAGTAAGAAAACTAAGATAAATTTATTATTGGTGAATTATAAAAAATAACACTGAAGGGATCAGAGAAATTATAAAGGTTGGGATAAGACCGTGGGCATGCCATCAGTAGAACTGATCCAGAACATGGACTCTGGAGAGAGAGGGATATCTACGCCATTTGGGAGGATACATAATAAATATAATGATGAGATTTATTGTCAGTATTGTTCAGTTTTTTTCATGTTGACTAAAACTGGGTTTCTTTTATGAACCAGATTGCTGACTTGAGTTATTTGGGAGTACTTATTGGTCTTGGATTGACAGTTTTGCACTTGATACAGGTGAGACACATTTATTGATTACATCAAAGCCTTCAAATGTGTCCACCATCAGAAATTGTTGAGTATCGTGAGACGTAAGGTGTTTACAGCATATTTGCGATATTTAATTGTAAGTTTATGTCACAAACAACGAGCAGCCATCAGAGTAACTAGGGAGATATCAAACTGTTTCGAGATGGCAAAGGGAGTGAGGCAGGCCTGCATTCTCTCACCATACCCATTTACTGTATATTCAGATAAAAATCATCAGAATTGTGACTATTATGATCCACTTGTAATTGTCAAAAACCTGTTTCCTTAACTTCATGAACAATGTAAAGCGAAAAGAACATTTAATCATTTCCGTCCCAAAACAGTAAAGATCAAAACATTTACCTGAATCTAAAGGAAAAAATAACCACAGAAATTACAAAATGCTATAACCTTAAAATAACAGTCAATGATGAAGAAACTTAAACATCACAGACTTTGAATATCCAAGCTCCATAATAAAGTGCAATCGAGACTGTTTGACAGAAATCAGAAGGAAGATGGCCATAGCAATACAAAGATTAAACAGCATTTAAAGTCTATGGTCAAGTCCTAGCAAGGAAATAAGACCACAATTTGAGGGCATGGATCCTTCCTGTAGCAACATATGAATGTCCGTCGCGGATATCTCGCAGGCGTGAAGGAAGAAAATAAGGGCTTTGAGCTGAAATGCCATAGAAAGATGTTCATAATACCATTGACCAAGAAGAAAAGAAATGATGATATCCTAAAAGATTTAAGCATCAAGAAAAGTTTTCTCTTGACCAGTATCTTGTCTCGGAAACTGAAATATTTTGGCCATATAAAGCGCCCTAGCAAGACGATTAGGGCATGGTACCATGAAAGAAGCGGAGGGGTCAAGCTATCATAAAGATGATCACAGGAAATAAGTGACACTCGGGTAGGAAAGTTCTGGAGGTGGAAGAGTTGGCGAGAGACCAAGTTTCTTTTAGGCTGGTTGTGATGAGAGCGATATTCCACACAGGTCCTGCTAGATGATGATGATGGTGTGACAGGTAGGACAGCCGCTGTCTCACTAACACCTGACCTCTTCTTTGTGAGAATAAATTGTTGTCTGGTCTTTCAGGAGCACCTCAAATCTGGCCGATTGATTGATCTATTTGTCCCCTCCAGACTGCTCCCTGGGGTCTCCATGGTCAAGTGGTCAAGCCGTTTGCCTCACTCTCTGAATTTTGGGGGTTCATTTCACAGCTGTGCCCTTTAGTTTACGAGTGCAATTTTTACAGAGATCCTTGGGGATTGTCTCCAGAGCTACAGAGTTTGTGCTCTATGTGGCACTCTCGGTAGGCGGCTTGCCATTGTGGAGAGAGACCCAGCCATATGGGATAAAACCCGGTGCAATGGAGTTGATTCTCTCGACTTTAACTTTCGACCCTAAGGTTGACCATACTATTCTGAGGTTTAACAAATGTTTTGAAGGCAGACCTACAAGGTAGATCCCAGATATCCTGTTCAGCCTTGAAAGAAGTTATAATTAGGGCACCCATCAACGGTTACACCAGCCAGGTGTAACATGTAGTCCTGTGTGAGTCAGTACCTCCTCATTTCTGCTCCTTTTTGAGAATAAATATTGTTTTGCTTTAAACAAAAATGTTCTACTTTAAACAAAAATGTTCTACTTTAAACAAAAATGTTCTACTTTAAACAAAAATGTTCTACTTTAAACAAAAATGTTCTACTTTAAACAAAAATGTTCTACTTTAAACAAAAATGTTTCTACTTTAAACAAAAATGTTCTACTTTAAACAAAAATGTTCTACTTTAAACAAAAATGTTCTACTTTAAACAAAAATGTTCTACTTTAAACAAAAATGTTCTACTTTAAACAAAAATGTTCTACTTTAAACAAAAATGTTCTACTTTAAACAAAAATGTTCTTTTTGTCAGAATGTCATTGCTTGCTTGAAATAGTAAGTTAGTACTAAAAAAACAAAAATAAAATCTTGTTTCTCCCGTTTATGAAACAAAATTTTTGTTATATTTACAGACATGCCTAAAAAGAAGAAGCGAGGTTTCCAGAAGAAGAAGAAGGATGATTCTCCAGGCGATGCGTCAGATTGTGAGTCGCTAGAAAGACTGCCCTCCTCAAAGAAAGTTGCTGCAGCTTCATCTACTAGCCAGCTGGAGGATGAGGTCGATCAGATTTCATCATTTACGAGAATATCCCTCAACAGCAGTAAGTCAGAGAGTGGAGAAACTGCAGGACTGTCATCTTCTCATTTCTTTTGTAACTACTGTGAGTTTTCTGCAGAGTCCAAATCAGTGCTTTTGGGACATACAAGGCAGCATATGATTAAATGTCCACACTGCTCGTTCAGCAGTCTGTCGCGGATTGAAGTCAGTCGCCATTGCAAGCATGAGCACGAGGAAGACCCTGAAGGGGTCTCTCAGGAAGTGGGTTCCTCTAGTGCCGACTGTGAGATGGATAAGGATCCGTGTACAGCATGTGTCTTCTGCAGCTTTTTGACCTACAGCACAGAACATCTGGAGAAGCACACGCTTCACAAGCATCCTGGTATGTTGGCAAAATCAGTGGCTCGGATGATCACCAAACAAAGCAGTACGGAAGTACGCAGAGATGATGCTCTCTTTTATTTGTCCATTTCAAATGAAGGGCTAGGCAAATCTTCAAACTTAATGGCCCCAGAAAATTCATCCTCACCGATCGTCATTGATCCGGTTGTTAGCAAGTCAGAAGATGTTAAGCCTGAAATAAAATGTTCTTATACAAAATCGGTGTCTATTTTACAACGAACAGGGCGGCTGCCTGTAGAACATAAATTTGAGAATAATCGTTGTGATGCCTTGACTGGAGACAAGCTGGCTAACAGAAACACCCCAGCCAAAGCAGAAAGTTCAGGAGTACCTATGCTAGTGAAGGTGGAAAGCTTATACTGTCTGACCTGCCCATACAGCAGTGCCTACATTGAGAAACTGAAGTGCCACACTTTAGCTCAGCATCCAGTAGGTCCTGCAGTGGCAACTTACAACACCAACTGTGTCGATGCTGAAGATATCGTCTTCTTCTGTGTGAGAGAGGACTGCAGCCATACCAGCTCTGACAGTATGTCCCACCAGAAACACCTCATGAACTGTTGCTCTTGCCAGCAGACGATGAAAGTTTTGGAGAAGGAAAGACTGAAGTCAACTGTAACTTATATTTTAGAGCATCAGAAGAAGCATCACCTGCCGGCAGCAGATGGTTTCTTTGACTTTGCTTCTCTTTTTCTGGATGTTTGCTTGCCTCCATCTTTAACAGGAATCTCCTCTTCAGCTTCAGAAAATCAATCCGTTAGTCAAAAAAGGGCTGAAAGATCAATAAATATGCCTCAGAATTCGGCAATGTATACAGCAAAAGCTTCCCTAGACAACTCCCCTTTAGATACAGGTCTGTATAGGGCTCCAAGTCATTTGAGTTCCACTACAGTATCCTCTTCTGGTTCTCCAAGTACAGAAAGTAACTCTTCAAAATCTAGTCAGATGTTCTTTCCCCAGCAAGTGCAGAGCGTGACTCAGAATATACAGGCATCTGCTAACAGTGCTGGAGACCTCCAGAATCAAATGGCGCATCATTCTGTGATGCTGCCAACTCAGGCTGACTGCTTCCCCAGAAACCTGTCAGCTGATGGGAGGTCATTGCAACCAGTTCAAAATTACAGTGTAGCTTTTTATCCCCAAAGCCAGGGAAACTGCCCACAACCTGCATCTGCAAACCTACAGACTGCATCTGCAAGCTCTCTCCTGGCAAGTTACCCAGACACCCCACAGGCAACTGCTGGCTGGCAGACGGGCCAGGTACAAGCTACAGGTTTGCCTTCTGCCCCAGTTCAGTCAGAACAGAATTACAGGAATACTTTTCTGACTCAGAATTCTGATGCCAACATGACCGGTCTTCGGACACAGAACAGCACAACATATAATCCTCTGAGTCAAAGTCGAACTGATACATTTTCTATGGAGCAGGATCATGAAATGAATCAAAGCTTTAGACCTGCTGCTTCAGACAGCTATGCACCCAGCCCTGGCCACTTTTCCCAACCTCCTGTGAGTGGGTCACACCTGCATATTAACAACACAAACTCTAGCTTTCCTGGCCAGCCGAGCGAAACTTCCACAAGTAATATTTCTAATGTCCTGATGACATCAGGTGTCAATACAGTGTCAAATTCTATGACAAGTAATGTGTTTTATGGACAGCAGAATCCAGTCAGCAGTGTTCTCAACACAATAGACATAGATCAAAGTTCTGTAGGAACCCAGTCACCTCCAAAAATGGTAGATCTGCTGTCTGACTCGTACTCCATCTTACTGTCAGATGAATTTGGTCCAGATGGCCAGGTTCAGCAAGTTAACGACAATAATAGCTTTATTCAAACACCACATATGCCTGTTTGTCCTCCTTCATACCAGTCCGAAGCAACGCTAAGTACACATAACCAAGCTCAAGTTTCACAGTCGTCTGTGCCTCAAGGACAACCCATTCCTTACCAAGCTATGCAACATGAAGGATCCAGATTTCAGCCACTGGCTGTTGATGATTCTCAAATGCCAGCTTCTGGAAATCAGTTCTCATACTCCGCTTCTAATCAGAATAACCAGATAAATAAGGCAGACAGCACAGGACAGAATCCTGGTTTTCAGACTGTTCAGAATCCTAGCAACTATGGAGCATTGCAGAATGCTTTATCTCAAAATTCAAAAAACTATGGTGCTTTACAAAGTTCTTTTCCATCTGAGGAATCACCAAATGCCCAGCCAGCACCATTTCAATCGTCTGAAGTTCCAAACTTTTTGGTATCACCAGGGGCTCCATCTTCACACATGCGACCAGTGCAACCACATCCAGCAAATTCATTCAATAATCGGCAACTAGGCGCAGGACAGACTGCTGTTGGGCATCCAGGGACATTTACCCCACCCAAGAATAGCCAACCTGGCAACAAGTTTGCCAGTCCATCTCCTCTCAGCCCTAGTATCTATCTTAGTGGTCAAGTTCCCAGACACAGGAGGTCAAACTGGACCGATGCTGACATGAGTCCGAGGGGAATGATGATGTCCGGTGCGTCTCCCAGGCATGTGCATCCACCTGTGTCTGCTCCAGGAAGTCACAGCTTCATGAGTCAAAGACAGTCTGTCCCCGGAAGAAGAGGCTATGCCAGGGGACCCCGGATGTCATCGGGGAGAGGTAGAATGCCAATTCCCCGAATGCCATACAGCCAAACTGGCGGTGGTGGAGATGACGATGATGTAATTCTAACAGCTGTCGTCAGGGGCACTCCTCCCAAGAAGCAACAACCTCACCAGCAACCAGTTGGCAGAGGGGCATACCGTGGAACCCCCAGTCCTGCCCCTAGAGGCAGGGGCCAGGTATTACCAATTCAGAATCGACAGAGAAATCTGAATTCTGCTCCGAGGGTGCCTTATCCAGTAGCTATACCACCGCCTCAAACTCATAAACATTTTGACATCAGTAAGCATTTTGAAGATCTTGCTTGCGTGGTCAACGCCTCGGCTGATGACGCTGATGGTGTAGGGGATGATATCCAAATTGTGGCTGTCACTCCAGGGAAGGATAAGGACAAAATGAACCAGCCCAAGGCTGTAGATGCCAGCAAGTTTTCCTTTTGCTGTGTGCACTGTGGTAAAGACCAGGGTTCAAAGACTGTTATGAAGCAGCACATGAAAGCTCGTCACAATGACTCTTTGTTGGGAGCATTTACAAACACAGAGACCGGTCAGCTGCTCTTCTTCTGTCCGCAGCAGGCTTGTGAGTTTATGACCTATGATGAGAAGAGACTGAGTGAACATCTTTCAAAATGTTTTGATTTGGACCGATCCAAACCTTTTGATTTTGGTACAGCCATAAAAAACTTGAAATCTCTGAAGATTCGGCAGTTGGATGTCCGAACGATGGGCAGAAGCCAGGAATTTGCTATAGATCTGGATGGACAGGGTATGAAGGATAATTTCAGCAGTAGTTTGAATGACGCTTTTGGGGACATTGTTGTGAATGCGTCAGGCAGACACATGCTTAGAAATGCGCCACCTCATCAAGCTCGACTGTCACAGCAGCAGTTTCAGTCTGCACTGCCACCGAGTGCAGCCACGGGAAGTAAATCCCCTGTGAGACATTTGCCTCCGTCGAACTTAGCCCCACGGCTGGGAAATCCAAGGTTTATACAACCTGGACACATAGGAAACAGAATGCATAGGCCAATGGCATCTCCACGTTACGCAAAGCAGCCGAGTTATGAAATGCGCCCACAGCTCCGACAGACTGGCCCTATGGATGTTCGGAATATCAGAGATATGCGCCCAAGAGCACCAAATTCTGCTGTGCAGCGCCAGCCGATGCGTGCGGCACCACCATATAATATCATGACACCAAGAATGCCTAGCAGAAGCCAGCAGGAGCCTGTTATAGTTATTGATGTGGATTCTCCAGAAAGACCAGAAGAAGGACAGGAATCAATGATAATTGACAGTCCCGAAAATATACATCAGTTGCCCTTAGTGTCCTCCGACCAGTTCCCCAGTTCAGGTCTTTTAGGAGCAAGACCTGAGAATATAAATAGCTATCCAGAAATGATGAATGTTGATTCGTGCCCAGAACAGCAGCCAGTGTCAGACAATGCCAGCTTGGTACCTGGTTATCAGGCATCAGCCAGTCCTAACTTGTCTCCGAGCAGCATCCAGGCACTGGACAGCAGACTCAGCGATAGAGCACATGCATCACACTCTGATTCTTTGGTTGACCAGTCTGTTCACTATTCTTATGATGGCAGTAATTCGGTCGATGAGGCACCAGAATCTGAGGAGGATCATTTGCAGCAGGATAGTGAATCTTTGTCAGGCATGTTGACCAGAAAATCAAATTCTGCTGCCTTGAGTTTGAGTCAAGGGGATGAACCCAACTCTGACTGTGATCCTGACAGACCAGCTGTTGATTCACATGCTTCTGTAACTGACAGAGTCATAGGAACATCAAAAGAGTACGCATCAACAGCTTCATATGTTGGGTCTTCTAATGTTCATTCACATGCCGCAGACAGTCCTCATGGTATCCAAACTTACCCGTCATCAACGTCGTCGACTCCCATTCCACCTACCGACAGTCATTTAAGTATAGAGTCAACAGAAGAGTGTTTAGATGAAGAAGAAAAAGTGAACGCATTAGTTCTTGAGAAAGTCTTTGCCAAAGTCCCCAACATGCCCAAGAACCTTTCTCGGAGATTAGTGGCAAAATTCAAAGAATATGCAAAACACAGAGGTGTGAAAATCACTACGGATTCTAAAGTTATTGATGAGTTTGTCAGCAAAATATACTATAAGGGATCAGCAGGTGATAAAGCTGCCAACAGACCTCAGCCACCTCCTGATTCTCCACATTTCCAACCTGCTGAATCCCCACATGTACCTACTTCAGCACCTTTAGCTCCACCAGTCTCCAACAGTTCTATTCCAAGTTCAGGAAATACTCAACCTCCACAAAGAGATGATGATTATGAATCTCCCAAAGATTATCGTGACTGTAACACAGACACTGTGCAGGAGGATCTTCAGCCGAAAGAATATGCTCATAAAGAGCCAGCAGCAGCTGAAGATCCTAGTTTCTCCGAGCAGTCTTCAGCTAGCGATGTTGTTGCAACTCATGTTATTCTAGCAGAGAAAACTTTACACTTCTCACCAACTTTTGCAAGTATTGCTATGAAATCTTCAAAGATATTAGAGACTCTACATTGTGTGGGTAGGAAGGAGAAGACAATAGAAACTAACCAGCAACGTCCAGCAGAATTGAGTGACTCTCTACTGAAGTCACATGTTGATAATGAAAGCAGTACAGTTGTGAACAGAAGGAACAGTCTCAGTGATTGGCCGCTGCCAGCTTCAGTGGCCATGGCTAGTCTGCGCCGGTCAGGCTCATTACCTCAGATTGCATTGAGTTTTCCAGCTTCTCCAGGAGCTGTCAGGTTGCCATTGGAACATATACAAGAAGATTCAACAACAGAAGCATCTTCAGCTCCTGTGTTGTCTGCAGATGTTAGTGAGAGTTCAGAAGATAGACCAGCTGTCCTTCGTGAAGATTGTGAAGAAGATGCAGATGTTAATGAGAGTTCAGAAGATAGGCCAGCTGTCTCTTCTGAAGGAGATGTAGATGTTAATGAGAGTTCAGAAGAGAGACTAGCTGTTCTTCCTGAAGATTATGAAGGAAATGCATATCTTAATGAGAGTTCAGAAAATAGGCAAGCTGTCCCTCCTGAAGAAGATGCAGATGTTAATGAGAGTTCAGAAGAGAGACTAGCTGTCCTTCCTGAAGATTATGAAGGAAATGCAGATGTTAATGAGTGTTCAGAAGACAGAGAAGGTGTCCCTCCTGAAGAAGATGCAGATGTTAATGAGAGTTCAGAAGATAGGCAAGCTGTCCTTCCTGAAGGAGATGTATATGTTAATGAGATTTCAGAAGAGAGACTAGCTGTCCTTCCTGAAGATTATGAAGGAGATGCAGATGTTAATGAGTGTTCAGAACATAGACAAGCTATCCCTCCTGAAGATTTTGAAGCAAATGCCTTTGAACCAGCAGCTGAAACTGGGGAGGAGCATAAGCCTCTAATTACAATCAAAGAAAAGATGAAAGAAGAAGTAGAAGTTAGTTTTCCCCCAGCACCAGAAGCAGAGACTGTGCCCATCCTGATCAGCTCAAGTGTGGCAGACATTGTTTCCGGGCATCCAAGTTTGGAGGTTGATATTGCTGGAAAACCGCTGAAGCAGGAATTTCTGGATGAAGACAACCGAGACTTGGGAGAAGACAACCAAGACGTGGGTGAAATTGGCGAGGTTAAAGATAATGTTGTCAGCAAAACTGGTTGTGACAGGTCTCCAAAAGAAGATATGTTTGAGAAGTTAACACCTAAGTCTTCAAACTTTATAGACAGAAAAACAGGACAGCTTCTATTGAAGAAAACCAAAAGAGGAAGGCCTAGAAAGTTGTTTGCAGAGAAAGAAGAGCCAAGGAAGTTGTCTGCATCAAAAGTAAAGCCAAGAAAATTGTCCTTGGAGACAGAAAAGCCAAGTAAGAAGTCTGCGGAGACAGAAATGCCAGGTAAGAAGTCTGCGGAGACAGAAATGCCAGGTAAGATGTCTGTGGAGACAGAAAAGCCAGTGAACTTGTTTACACAGAAAGAAGAAAAACAACAAGAAGAAGAGATTAAGGACTTTGATGCTGAAGAAGAACACATTGTCAGGCGGTCTTCAAGAAGCCGTAAACCTGTTAATAAAGATTACCGAAGTGATGCAAATGAGATCGATGAGCTGATGTCTGATGACGATGATGAATATCTTATGTCTGAGGATGACTATGATACCGATACAGATGGCGACTGGCGTGGTGGTGACTCGGATCAGCCTCCTAAAAAACGGATCAAGAAGGTTCGGCCGCCACCAGATCCTACAGCTTTCGACATTTCCACAAAGGGGAAGTTCAAATGCTGGCTGTGCAAAAAGGTGTTCTCCAGATGTACTTTTGCAAAGTCCCACCTCGTTCAGAAGCATAAAGATGGATTATGTGCGGTCTACGTGGACAAATCGGAAGAAAGTAAATCCCTGTGTCTGCTGGTGTTTTGTCCTAGAAAATGCCGGTATGTGACACTTGACCTGGAAGGCTTAAAGAACCATGTAGAAAACTGTGCAGAAACGGAATTAGAAGTTGACGGCAAGCCGTATCTGGAGATCAACAAAGGCTTTCTGGATAATAAATACACAGAGGTAAGGGAACTGAGCAACTCATAACTAATTGTGAATGTGTGTAATGCAATTTTTCTCTCTCTTGTTAAAATCATTTGTTTTCCAAGCGGCAAGGAACAAATAACTGCACACAGATAAGCCAGTAAAACAGATGTACACGGGAAACTCAGGCCTGGCACAAAGTCAGAGTCTAAATGGATGAACAGCCGAGACTTTCCACTGCAGCTTACAGCTGGTGAACAAAGAAGAAGAACAAGAGCTTCATTTCATGTTTTGCATAAAACTTTAAAAAAACTACAGCTCTGTTTTTTTTTTTTTAGAGCATTTTTATATACCCTGCCATCTACCTGTTTGTTTAACCTAGTCTGTGATCTGTCCCAGTTATTCAGGGTTCACAGCGACCCTTGAAATCTTGAAAAGCCCTTGGAAGGCAGCTTGCACCTTCAAGGGCTTTAAAAGACCTGAAAAGGCTCAAAGACTGATTAAAGTCCTTGAAATTTTTGGACAGTGAACTTAAAAAAAAAACATGAAACAGATCAGAAAGTAAAAGATTTTTCAGAAGACCCATACGTTAGATAGTCTTTGTCACTACGTCAACGAATTGTTTGCCCATGTCATCTAATGTGAGGAAGTTGATTTTATCTACCTGTTTGAGTGTTTTACGTACATCTGTTTCTATCTTTTTCTGCCTCTCCTATAAAGTTTTTTCTCCTGTCAGTGTATTTGTGACTGCTTTACTGTTCCATACATTAGCTTGTATCTTTTCCTGGTGGTTTTGGTCATTACAGCTGTCAGTGTATGTTTCTTCTGTATATACCATACTCTCAGCCTTGTTATCTGTTCCTGTCGCTTTAGAGTGTAGCCTACACATAGTGTATGACCCACTGGTTTGATTGTTGTGCTTTTACCACATATAAAGTAAATTGGCTCATAGCCATGGCTTCCATAAATTGCAATAGTCTGCGATTGGCTTACTTACAGAGCATTTGAAAGGCATCGTCCTTGTTTACATAGTGCCCAGAATTCATAAGGTGGCACACATCTCGGCCAGTGTTTAATTCCCTGTTGATTTCATGTAGTTCTTACATAGACCAACCAGTGTTTAAGTAGCATAGACTACTGTATTTTTCCATGTACAAGACAGTGCATTTTTTCCATGTACAAGACAGTAAATTTTTTCCAAATTTTAAAGTTGAAAATTCTGGGTCGTTTTATACATGGAGCGTGTTAAAATATTTATTTCCTGATTTTGCACTTTAAAAAAATATTGGTCGTCTTTGAATAGGGATGTCTTCTCTTATGCATGGAAAAATATTATATGATTATAGGAGTTTGTCACCTTTTCATGGCCCCATATATTTGAGGCTCTTTTACCTGACATATTTCTAGCATCGTGAGATTTTTATTGGCCAATAATGATAACTTGTCTTGTCCTAGCTGCAAGGCATGAGTTTGGAGGCAGTGATGAGCATTCCTAAAGCCAGGAAACCCAAGGATCCAACAAAAAGTCCTAAAGTGAAGAAATCTGTAAACAAGTCCACAGCTACTGGACCTGTGATCATCCACCACAGCGAAGCATCAGTGACCATCAAAGTAGAAAGTGATATCCCTTCAACAGCTCCTTCACTTTTCTCCAGCAGTTCTCCTATGGACACTTCACCTGTTACCCAGCAGACAGTCACCTCTCCTCATTCACACACAGGGGCCCATTGGCTGGCTGATCCTCCTCCAGCTATCAGATCTTCCACGGCTTCGGATCAGTGCACATTAATCACTTCAAAGAAAAACTGTTTTCTACCGCAAAAACCATCTCAGTACAGTAGTCCACAACTGCCCAGTCAGCAGTCATCATCTGTTGCCATTGACATAACGAGTACTCATTTCCATCCTGCCAAAGGCAGTCCATTCAGCTCCGCAGCACCTGCGCCACATAAACATCCTCCAGGGCAACAGATATTTATCTCTTCAGCCCAAATTAAAGTTAGCGGCAGCTCGTTTCCTCAGTCTGCTGTACCAAGAATATCCAATACTGGCTTCAGCGCTACACAGCAGGTGAAAGGTGACAGTTCGTTTCCACAATCTGCTCTACCCAGAATGTCAAATATTGGCCTCAGCGCCTCACAGCAGGTGAAAGGTGACAGTTCGTTTCCTCACTCTGCTGTACCCAGAATGTCAAATATTGGCTTCAGCGCTTCGCAGCAGGTTAAAAGCGACAGTTCATTTCCTCACTCTGCTGTACCCAGAATGTCAAATATTGGCTTCAGTGCCTCCGAGCACATAAAAACTGGTAGCCCGTTTCCTCAGCCTGCCTCCCCCAGAGTATCCGACACCAGTTTTAGCATGTCAGAGCAAGTGAAAGGTAGCAGTTTTTCTCCTCAACGTGGTCCATCCAGAATGTCTAATAATACTGGCTTTAGTGCTTCTGAGCAAATAAAAACTGGTAGCTCCTTTCCTCAGGCTGCCTTCCCCAGAGTGTCCAATACCGGCTTCAGCATGTCTGAGCAGGTGAAAGGTGGCAGTTCATTTCCTCAACCTGGCCCACCCAGAATGTCTAATATTGGCTTCAGAACCTCCGAGCAAGTGAAATTTGACAGTTCATTTCCTCAACCTGGCCCACCCAGAATGTCTAATATTGGCTTCAGAACCTCCGAGCAAGTGAAAGGTGACAGTTCATTTCTTCATTCTTGCCCACCCACAGTGTCCGACACCAGCTTCAACACAGACCAGGAGGACGATATAGTTTATATGATTGAGGACAATGGAACCATCTGTTTAAAGTAGCGGTTCCAATTGTCTTTCAGTCAGGATATATAGGGTGTTCATAAAGTCTCACTACACTTTGTTTGCAGAACAGATTAAAAAAACCCAAGTACATGACGTCATTAAAATGTGTACAGAAAAAGTCATTTAGTTAGGTACAAAAGTCGCTGCAATAGTCTGGCGCTGTTCTGTGGAAGCTGAAGAATACCAGTGTAATGTTCATTGCAACAGGTCCGGGACATTCACACCACAAGCTTCAAGACATGGCTGGACAGGGTCTACTCATATTGTCATATCCCTTCTGCAATGTGCATGTCTTGATTGGTCATTCTGATTGCTTCCATAAATATCATCATCATGTCTTGAATGTAGAGAATCCCTCCAGTAGACTGCTGCCATTCACTGCATATTGCATCGCGATTGACTCTGTAACACATTCTTTATGGTGTCATGTACTTTGTTTTTCACATTTGTGCTGCAAACACAGTGTAGTGAGACTGACAAACACCTTGTGAGACTTTACAAACACCTTGTACAAGTAAGGAAGTCAGAGCCCCCCCCCCCCCCCCCAGATTGCTAGGTATATGGTGCTCCTCCCATATATGTAGTGCAATCAGCATTTAACTTACAATTCAAGATATACCAGGAGCCAGATTTTTAACTATTCAAACATTTTTCTTCTGGTGGTACAATTTGTGAAAGTATCCACTAGAGTGAAATGTGAGTGATAAAACCTTTTGAATAAAATCAAACAAGCTTTTAAAAAAAAAAAGGAAATCAAAAACTAACAGCTCTTTCTTATAATTTTTCAGTATTGAAATCCTTGTCTTTGAAAATTAATAAAACAAATACAATCTGGAATTTCACAATGTTTACCTGCTGTGAAAAGTAACATGACGACACAAAGATTTACAACACATTTTATTGTCTGGTATATCTTGTAACGAGACAGTAAGATTTATGTGAAATGAGAGGATTTATTTGTGTGCGTCATTATGTGTATGTATAACTCTGCAGTAATGCACCTGACGAAATACAGTGATATCTTGATTAATGGGCGGCTTCATTTGACAAATATATTTTTTCCCGCGGCTAAGAAATTTGGATTCGGCTATCGGATGTTTGAGTGGATACACATGCTAACATAACATGATGATACTGTAGGGTTGGAAGCCACCTTGGTGTAGTGCCTAGACACTTGCCTGTGGATCGCAGGGTCATGGGTTCAAGTCCCGATTGAGCCGAACTTTAAAAAAAGAAATGACCTAGACCTCTAGGTCCACCCAGCCTTGAGTGGGTACCAGGTTTAGTCCTGGGAAGTAAAGGTGACCGCACATCACCCACTGAGTGCCGTTTGGTCTATAAAATATAGGTCTAGCCGTAATAAGCCTAACACACCCTAAAGCAGGGAAAAGGGTCCTTCAACTGTTACTGTGTGGCTGGACTCTAGCACCACCTATGGAACAATCACATTTAGGCAAATGAAGATTTCAGTTGATAAATATGATTCTAAAACAAATTATCTGTGATCGCTGATGTATCACTGTTTCATTAGCCAAGGTATCACAGTTTCATTAGTCGAGGTATCACAGTTTCGTAAGCAGAGGTCTTTTTTTTTGCCTTGCAATCAAATTGTGCAGTATAGTCTTTATCCTCAATTTTAAATTCTGAAAAATTTGGGCTGCCTCTGTTGAGTCATTACCATATCAGAGGCAACAAGATACAGAAAATTACTTATATATATATATATTTAGTGTGTGAATATCTCTTCAGATATGTACATTCTTTCTCTATTTTTCTTTTCTTAAAAAAAAAACTTTTTCAGCCTTCCTTTTAGTACTACTGCTTTGATGTCATGTGTAAATACTAGAAGCCATAATCTTGTCATCTCACAGAATATGTGTTGACATTCTGGCCTATAAACTAGACACATATATATGTCATCTCGCAAATATGTGTTGACATTCTGGCCTATAAACTAGACACATATATATATGTCATCTCACAAATATGTGTTGACATTCTGGCCTATAAACTAGACACATATATATATGTCATCTCGCAAATATGTGTTGACATTCTGGCCTATAAACTAGACACATATATATATGTCATCTCGCAAATATGTGTTGACATTCTGGCCTATAAACTAGACACATATATATATGTCATCTCACAAATATGTGTTGACATTCTGGCCTATCAACTAGACATTATTTCAGCTCAACGTGTATCCATAAGATGCATTATTGATAACAGGCATTGGTACTCTGAAAAATGAGTGCTTAGAAGGGCTGAATGTCCAATTTGTAACCCTTTGAAAATAAAGTTTATTTGTTCGTTCGTTCCTCCGGACACGGAATCATCTAGACATTTGTGTTGGCTGGGCATTAAGTCAGATGCAGTCTGTTAGGATATTTGCTCTTTTTGGAGCTGAGTCATCGAGATCAGTAACAGTTTTATAACCGGTATAAAGTCACATTAGACATTGGTATATTCATTTGTGTATTACTTTTGTATGTTGATATACAGTGTTGTGCTGTATGTGCATTTATCATTGGCAGTTATATGCTGATACCTCACAAATTTAAAACATCATTTGACTGTGAGCGTCCTAAGGAGTTGCAGTTCCTGTTGTTATGCGTTAATTTGTAGATTTGTTTGCCTGTGGGACTGCCCCACCTACTTGACTACTCCATGCAGCTCCCAGCATATTATCCTCACAGACTGAATTGTGTTGGAAGACTTCTTAGAATTCTTATAGTAGTGGACACTTGCTCCACTTGTCTGCAAAGGCATGATCCAGGTTTATATCTTTCCCTGATCAGTATAGTGCTGGGGTTCACACAGCATCCTAAACGTGGGCACGACATTCTTCAGAATTTAAAAGAAAATTTTTTTTTTCAATGTTATTTTAATTTTTCCCATCCATAAAGGTCATAGTTGATGCCCGGTGAATCAGTTGTGAAATGTGTCGAATGTTTTGGTATGCCCCGACTAAACATAGTAATATGTTGACTGGTGCATATGAGTTAATCCAGTCACATACAGTGGGTTATGGTATGTGCCATAGAAAGAGTGAAGCCAGGTGGAAAAGTTGTGTTGAGGAAGTGAACTGATCGGCTCACCTATTATGTCAAAGAATAGAATATGGAAAGATTGGCCGCAGCAGATTTCTCTCTGCCTCTCGCTATAGTTATACACACTCTCAGGTTTTTGTGCGCCCATCTCCTGATGTTATTCTCCCGATTGTTTTGCTTTCTGCCTCTTGGCGCACAGCACTTTTCCTTCTAGTATGGTTTTATTAATGTTTTTCCCCCTGCTTTTTTTTTTAAGAGTATCTCTTTTAGTGAAGCTGAAAAATTAAATGTATCTCTCATACATACATATCTCTTGTCTCCCCTTGTTCCCCCAGAAATATTACCTTTTCCCTTTCCCCCTTTTGATTTCTCAGAAATATGACCTTTCTCTTGTCTCCCCTTGATCCCCCAGAAATATGATCTATCTCTTGTCTCCCCTTGATCCCCCAGAAAAATGACCTTTCCCCCTTTTGATTTCTCAGAAATATGACCTATCTCTTGTCTCCCCTTGCTCCCCCAGAAATATGACCTTTCCCCCTTTTGATTTCTCAGAAATATGACTTATTTCTTGTCTCCCCTTGCTCCCCCAGAAATATGACCTTTCCCCCTTTTGATTTCTCAGAAATATGACTTATTTCTTGTCTCCTCTTGATCCCCCAGAAATATGACTCATTTCTTGTCTCCCCTTTATTCCTCAGATATATGAACTGTCTCCTATCTGCCCTTTCTCCACCCCCCCCCCCCCCAGCCCCCCTTTTTTTTTCCCTTCCACCCCCTTTAATATGACTTGTTGCTTACCTCTCCTTTGTTCCCCAGAAAGAAAAAAAACCAATCAAAGTGATTAATATTCCAAAATACATGAATGTGATTTCAGCCACAAATGATGATGGTTACAAAAATGTTGCCATTGGTAATTAAAGATGACTGTTAGACCATGTTTATAATTATAACATGAAGGCCAAACTGGCAATGAAACATGACAACACTGCATATACAAATTATTTGCATTTCCCTCAATCTAGGGAGGTTTGTACATTTAATCTTTTTTGTTGTCCAGAAGAAAATGATGATTTTTAGTATTGCGTATTGCAATCAAATTCTTTGTTTACCTTGATTTTCCATTGTTTGTTGCTTGAAAAACTCTGTGACTGTTACATTATTATGTGGTGAACAATAGAACCTGTCAGTTATGATGTAATTTTTAGAATTTTTTTTTTTTATCTGTAATGAAATATTGGCTGGATGGGCCAGATTTTACAGCGTATGTAAACATTATTTATAAACAGTATGGTTAGCTTTTATTTTTTAGCTGCTAGTTTGTAAAAAGTCAGTTTTAAAATAAACTCAGTCGTTTTCTTTTTTATTCCATTTTCATTGAAAGTGCATCATACCTGGTCATGTCTAGGTTCATCTATCTCTCTAGGTTCATCTGTTTCTCTAGGTTCATCTGTCTCTCTAGGTTCATTTGTCTCTCCAGGTTCATCTGTTTCTCTAGGTTCATCTTTCTCTAGGTTCATCTGTTTCTCTAGGTTCATCTGTCTCTCTAGGTTCATCTGTCTCTCTAGGTTCACTTGTCGCTCCAGGTTCATGTATCTTGCTAGGTTCACACAACTCTAGGTTTACGCGTCTTTCTGCTTCCACAGGCATGTGTGTACAGTTCACATCTTGTAGGTATATTTGATCCAAAATAACAGCGTCTGTTTCCCCGTTAGTGCCATAACTCTTATCGGAGTTAGAACCAGGACAGTGATAAATGAACCCAGAGATATTTTATAGAGAACAAAATGATGCTAGTGCTAACTAGATAGTGTCCTTAAAAAGGTTATGTTAAGTTCCTCTACTAACTGTTCCCATGAGAAGCTAGTCAAAGTGTCTGATGTCTAGGCCCCCAAGTTGGCATAGATGTGCTTCACCAAGCTGAACTCCCATGTCACACAATCTTGTTACCATCAGAGATTCAACACTAACCCCCAACCTACCATAGTGTTGATGATATCAGCTCTGTCCGTACTTTAAAAAAAAGGCTGTACTCATCATATAGTTTATTTCAAAAAAAAGGTGCCAGGGTACCACCAGAAGAAAAGCCCTGAATAAACCCTTCTTGTGTAGAATACACACACCCCGTTGATCAGTAAATGGATGTTTTCTTTCCTAATAGTAATGCCAAGGCTGCAGCCTAATGACCAACTGCAACATCCAGGTTGCACGTCTCAATGTTTTTGTGTATGCTGTTTTCTTCCCATAGAAGAGTAAGTTGTTGGATCTCTTTACCCAAGGTCATCACAGAGATGTCTGATATCATCAGAAAGTAATGAATCTTGTCAACAAATTCCCAGCTAGTACTGAGATTCAAACCCACCGACTTCTGATCCTAGGGTAGACATCTAAACTGTTGTCCCACTTCCCATTTAAATGAGATCTGAAGGCATGAAATGTTTTAAGTAGGGCAGTTTCCTTGTGGGAATGACAATATGAACAAGCTGCAAACCCCTGCAAGATGGTTTGTCTCACAGATTCACAGTCAGCCGTTTAGGTTCTAGAGGCTAGAATTAACTGACAGCACACTTCTAAGTCTAACAAACGAACTTGCCAGGTTGTCAGCAAAGACAGAAACCCACCTGCAATTGATTCCATCTCACTGAGGCATCAATCAGTCAGGTACTGTCTCCCAGTGAAGGTTGTCTGCTGTGGATCTTCAACACGCTCTGTCTCTTGTCCTGGGTGTACACTCTGCTTCCTGTCCATCTTTTGATGTTCTCCTTCTATCTGCATAATTGCCTACCTCTTGTTGCTCTCTCACCTTCCACATTTCCCTGCAGTAAGGTTTTTAAAAGTGTGTTATGTCTTTTAATATGGCCAAAGTATTTCAGTTGTAACTTTTTTATTTCTTTCAGTAATTCTCTTTTTATTTGAAGCCTTTCCTTAATTTCTGTATTCGACTGTTTTTTTCCCCCCCATAAAATACGACCTATTCTTCTGTATACCCATATCTCTAGAGACTCGATTCAATTTTTCAGTTGCTTTTTCATTGTCCACGTTTCTGTACCATATAGCAGGACTGAGTATACATAATATTGGACGATTCTCATTTGTAGCGTGTTTTGTGGTATCAAAGGCAGTGACAGAGTCAAGGAAGGCAGCAGCAAACTACAAATCTACCAGCCACTATTTTTTCCAGAAGTCAAAACCCTCATTAAGAGAAAACAAGAAACAGATTGGAAAACCCAGGTTATAACCATGAAACAGATTGGGAAAACCCAGGTTAAAACCATGAAACAGATTGGAAAACACAGGTTGTAACCATGAAACAAATTGGAAAACCCAGGTTATAACCATGAAACAGATTGGAAAACCCATGTTATAACCATGAAACAGATTGGAAAACATAGGTTGTAACCATGAAACAGATTGGAAAACAAAGGTTATAACCATGAAACAGATTTTTTTAAACACCTGAACAGAATAGACCAAGTCACAGTTTTTCATTGAAACACTGGACACTGCAGACTCAACAAACAGCTCTCTCACAGACTCCAGAACATGCCTTGCAAGACTGTCCTCTCCTGGCTGAGCTGCGAAGCCACATGTGGCCAAACCCAATAGACTTAACAACTAAGCTTTGGGGAAACCTTGAGATGACATCCCAGTTTGTGGCCCACGGTGGATTAAGCACATGACCAAAGATAACTGGAAAAGGAAGTGTGAGTTTTACAGCAGGGTGGGTCAATGAAAGTGTATTAATGTCGGCTGAAATCAGCAAACACAGTCATTTGTTTGCTGCTAAATGCATTGACCCTAACACCCCATCAAAATCTATAAAAAAAAAAAAAGGATATTCTGTCTTCAAATCTAGTTTTAAAAAAGCCGCCATTACAATGAATGTTGGCAAACAAATGTGCAAAAATGATTTCATTTAAAAAAGGGAACATAATATTTACTACAAACAGAGCAAAGAATTAACTGATTTCCTTCCCTTTAACAATTTTAAGGTGGTTTTGATAATTTTGCCACAATTAGCAGTGTGACGCAATTATGAGTCATCTGTTATTAAATCATTATTATTTGTAGCCATAATTGCCCGCATCAGTTGGCACCATATCCGATCCTAACATCTATAATTTAATTGAATTAATTTTAGTGTAAATTGCACAAAATCTGATATTCTGAATGAGTTTGTATTTTTAAACCATGTTTGAATATATTTTCATTGACATTTTAACTTGCAGTTGTTTCTGTGTGCTTTCATCATTGCTGTCAGATGTTTGTAATGGCATATAATTTTTTAGCATCATCTTTAGCAGGGCTGTCTGAATTATTTATGATATATATTTTGTTTTATAATATCATATAAATTTTTAGTATTATCCTTAGCAAGTATAAATTATTTATGATATATATTTTGTTTTATAATGTCATATAGTTTTTGAGTATAATGGTTAGCACAGGTGTTTGAATTATTTATCTTGTATTTTAATACATCTTTATGAAAGTGTACATGCTTTATGATTCAAGCATGTCTGCATGTTGCGTTTTTCTGTAAGGTTTAAAATTTCATGTTTTATAAAAAAACAGACTTTTGTATGCTTGTAGGCTAAATGTCAGTTATAAATGAGATTTTTTGTTTTATGAAGTCATTACTCTGAGTCAGATGTATGTTTGTATTACTATTTTATATTTGAATTATATGTTGTTGTTTTTTTTAACATAATTATATTTTTCTGACTGTCATGAATGTGTTTTCTGCTAGCTTTTATTTCTGAATTACATGTTTTTTAAAATATAATTATATTGTCTTGAATGGCACGGTTGTATGAATGTGTTTTCAGCTAGCTTTCATTTGGTTGAGGTAAACATGTTACTTTTGCGAAGATACTTTTATGTTTTTATTAGCGTTTTAAAGTTTAATTACATGTTTTGTGGAAATATAATTTGCAGTATTATTTCTTCTTATGGTTGAAACAGGACTGAGAGAAAGAGAGAGAGAGAGAGAGACAACTAATAGTCTCATGTACATTGTCGAACAAAGACACTCAATCACGTGAATACAAAAATCACAGTAACTTAAATCCTTGAAAATAGACACTAAAAATGTGTACGCATACGCACACACCCCATTCCACTCTTCCCCAGTAGCTGAAGAGAGAAATAAATCTGTTTTGTAAGCCTGGCATGTTCACCATTGTGGTTACCACCAACCGTTGCCAGAGACAAGTGCAGATCATTTTATCCAAGAACACCTTTAAGAGATTTTAGTTATAAATAACAGTAAACAAAATTGCTGTAGGGCCGAGGTGGTAGTGCCAGCTGTAGGTCTTGAGTTTAAGTCTGTGCCAATAACTGCTCTTGTGCCGAGGCCGATCCAGCCTAAAACTGGTACCAGGAAATATTCTGGAAAGTAAAGGTAGCAGACCTGTTGTTTATCACATCATCCATAGAATGCTTGCTGGTTGGTGTGTACAAGAGAAGAGAATCAAGCTCCTACTTCTGTACCAACCATACCTATAGGTGGTGTTGAGTCAAGAATCAATATCACAGCACTCGAGGCATTCCCATGGTTGCTCTGTCCTCATCTTCAGTAGCCAGCGCAGAGTTCCAGTACTGATGGTACTGGTCCTAATCTGTTTATATGTACGTCTTGCCTCTCCTCTGTGTGTAGTGAGCCAGCCAGACCCTTTGGTTACACCCAGGTGCCTCATTCTCTTCTGGCCATAATAATATTGTTTCTCTTCTGACTCAGTTGCTTGTTCCCAAAGAGCCCTGACCACATCTGCCTTGTCAGTTATCAATTTACCACCCAGTGGTGCAGATCCAGCCAATCTGTCTGCCTATTCATTCCTTACCACGCCAGCATGGCCTGAATAAAAGATCCAAACTATGCTCACTACCCGTGATCTTTCCAGTGAATCTTGCCACTCTGCTCGAAGCATCCCTGTCTTCGCCTTTCTCAGCATAATTTCAGAGTCTGTTACAATTATGACATGTGTATGCATCTTGTTAGACTACCATCTCCCTAGCACCCACTGGCCAATGTTTTGCACACCCGGCCCAATGTGATCATAACCCTACACAGGTCTGACTTTTCTTTGGGTACTCTGACCCACTCCTCTCCTTGCCCAGTGTTTTCCAGCGTGCATACTTGTCTGAGTCTTTCGCTTGAGTCAGCCTCTGACCCTTACCTGCCAAAGCTTCATGCAGAGGGTATTCTTTGTCATTTATCTTACAACCACAAGCTTCATCCACTTCCGTGTCTATTTGTCATGAATGCCATGAACTCCTTTCACTTCCATGCCTATTTGATTGATCACTATAAGCTCCTGCACCCAACATGCCTATTTATCTTGTAACCACAGCAACAAGCTCCTCTACTTGTTTTGATTACAGCAAGCTCCTCCCACCCCGTGCATATTTGTACTGATTACAGCAAGCTCCTCCCACTCCATGCCTATTTGTACTGATCACAGCAAGCTCCTCCCACCCCATGCATATTTGTACTGATCACAGCAAGCTCCTCCCACCCCATGCCTATTTGTACTGATCACAGCAAGCTCCTCCCACCCCATGCCTATTTGTACTGATCACAGCAAGCTCCTCCCACCCCATGCCTATCTGTACTGATC